ACAATTAACTTGCATGATATATATATATATATATATATATATATATAAAGAGAGAGAGAGAGAGAGAGAGAACAAATCATACAAACCAGTCTCAAACGTCTCTGAATTGCTTACAAATTACTTGTATACACATGTGTATACCGTCTAGATAAATTATTACCAATTCATCATTTTTACGGTTTTCTCCAAAATATGACCTCATATATATGAAGGTTCAATAGAGGGAAAAAAAAACAAGGGAACGAATGTCAATTGTTGAATATCTAATGAAAGACATGCAACTTTATTATTTACAATATATTATGTTTTTTTAATCATTTGTATCATGTATTTTTATCAAGAATAATTTTTATCATTAATATCTATTACAATATTTATCATGAATATTTTAATTTTTTTAATGTTATTTATACTATATTATAAATCATTTGACAAATACTTTTAAAAACCATTTTTTATGCATGAAATATTATTTATTGATGCATATTACTTAAAATTCGAGGTTACAAGTAAACTGTACGTAACTAAAACTTATTAAAACTCCATGTTTGGATTCGTGTAACTAACTGTAGATAAATATAATCAACTACAAGATAAATATTTCATTTTAAATCTAAAAAATCTAAAATATAATTAAGATAATTATTGAGTTATACTAATAACCGAATTAAGTATTATTATCATCATAAAAATTATATTATTAAGCCAAAATAAATGATTTCTTTATTCAAGCTAAATTAAATTATAATAAAAAATTTGAATTAAAGAAATTACATAAAGCGAGAATTTTTAAATAATTAATTTGATACTAATATTGATATTTTTTTTTTCAAATTTTTATGAATATAAACATTACCGCTTTCTTAAAGTTACAAAAAACCATATTATATCAACATAGATAAAAAAATAAAACAAAACATTATTTCGATGTATCTCGCTACATTGCATGAGTATCATTCTAGTTTATTAATAAAAGTCTACCTCTTAATAGTTCTAAAACCATCTAAATGATTTTGTATCCCGAGCCTCTCTTAACTATTCAGCGCCCTAATTTCATTATAAATAATTACTAAACAATTATAATTCATTTTACATTGTATCATGAGAGCATCTTAATCATTTTTTTATCAAACCATTCTTTATCAAACCATTCAGCAACTGACAAACAACCCCCAAATAATGTTCAACAAAATTTTGTAATATATTTTAGGGAAAAGTCAAAAACTCAATTGACTTTAGAATTTAGAATGATTAAGTATTTGAACAAATTTTTAGAACAAATTAGTCATTGAACTTTCTAAAACCTGTTATATACATTCTTATTACATATACAACTGGTTAATATGGTAAAATAATGGGAAAACTCTAAAAAAAGCCAATGAACTTTCATATTTTGAACGATTAAGTCTTTAAACATTTTTTGAACAAAAAAAAGTATTAACATCTATAAAATGAAATAAATATACCAAAAAAGTATTTACATTTAAAAAACATTACTGATGAAATTTATTTTAATTAAAAATAAAATATATTCGGCCATTGATTTTTTCAAATTAAAAAAATGAAAAAAAATTTAAAAAGGATTACTGATTAAATTAATTTTAATTAAAAATAAATTATATCTCATATGTGATTTTTCAGATTAAAAAGAATTAAAAAAGATTTAAAAAAGATTACTGATAAAATTTATATTAATAAAAAATAAAATATACTCAGTTGGTGATTTTTTAAATTAAAAATAGAAAATAATTTGATTAAATTACTGACGGATTAACGATAAAATTTAATTAAATACATAATTAATTAAAATTCATCGCTAATTAACCAAATTTCTTGGGTTTTAAAATGATGTACTTAAAAATTAAGAATAAAAAAAATTAATATAGTGCAACTCATAGACTCATAGTTATTTACAAAAAAAAAAAAAAAATTCATCCTTACATATATTTTTTGATAAATACATCAACGATTTTTTAAAAATTGGTTACTTGTATCATTTCAACCCAAAAAAATGTTACATATCACGGTTTGCTTGCCTCACAGATCAAATAGGTGGGAAGACGATTTTTAAGTCACGATTTTCCTGGTTTTTAATCTATCCAGATAGTTGTTGAATAAATCTTTTTATAATACGTAAGGATCTAATAATATTATTATTATATTAAATTTAATATGTAGTTTGGTTATATAAAAAAGTTTTTTTTTAATAATTAACTATTAAAAAATTACAGAAAAAAATATTAAAAGGGAAAAGAAAACACATATATATTTTTTTTACAAAAATTATGATAAAAAATAATATCATTCAGCATTAATTTATTTACATAATAAAAAAATAATATTTGTAATATTTTTTAATTTGAAAAATCACTAACACAATATTTTTTTATCAATAATCTTTTTTAAATGTAAGTGCTTTATCATAAATGTAAGTATTTTTTTGGTATATTTGTTTCATTTTATAGATGTAAGTATTTTTTTTGTTCAAAAAATGTTTAGGAACTAATTGTTCGAAATATGGAAGTCCATTGCTTTTTTTTTCCCACACTTTTTTCATTATATATTAACCAGTTTTATAAGCTATAAATATATATCTAACAGATTTTAGAAAGTTCAATGAGTTATTTAACAAGTTTTGGAATGTCCATAAATTTATTTGTTTTAAAAAATTGTTCAAGAACTAAATCATTCAAAACACTAAAGTTTATTGAGTTTTTTTTAAAGTCTATTTGTTTTAAAAAGTTGTGACTTACCATGAAAGTAGTTTCTGGCAAGGACCATGTATCTTTTTTTTATATTTAATTTTAGACTTTTAGTTGTCCATTAATGACAATGAGATGTTTTGTAACTGCCTATTAATTTCAATGAGATGTTCTGTAACTGCCTATTAATGACAATGTAACTATCTGGTAATTCATCGAATCGAAACATACAACAAGATCCTCAACATCATATTCTTCTATAATTTTTTTTTGGTTAATGGTTCATGT